GGAAAGGTCCAGGAAAATCCTATGGGACCTTGTGCCCATTCTCTAGTGTCCTCTCACTCTCTCCCGTCTTTCCGCGGCTCCAAAACACTTGCGCTTAACAAATAATCCCATCAAGTGAGTTCCAGTCCTCTCTAAGCAGTGGTTCCACATAATCTGCTGGCTGCGGAAACTTCTTTCGTGTCAGAGTCAGGTCGTCCCGAGACCACGAATGGCCACGTCTGGAAAATTTTTTTAAAAAATTAAAATTAGAAAAAGGCATCTGATATTGAGGACTAGCGGCAGTCTTAAACCGAAACTACTCTCCTAGGAGAACTACAGTTACCCCTGGCTTTCAGTAGTTGAGTTTTTATCAGCGTTCTGGAAATTTGTGAGTTTTGTTCCTAAACTTGGATTTTAATCTTACTAGACACTGATTAGGAGAAGACATACAGTATCCATTCACGCTTCTTCCGGGTCTATGCCCACCCGATAATTCGGGAAAACGCATATGAGTTTTGGGCTTTTGAGTTTTAATTCCTCATCTTTCTCTTTTTTCGGCCCCCACTCCAACCCCTCACTCCCATCTCCATCTGCTCCAATTAGAAACTGAGGCTTCAATAGGCTTGGATGCGATCTTTCCAAAGCTTGGAGAGTTGGCAGATCAGAGAGGGACTTTCCAGACAATGCTGTCCGGGGAAACCCTGCTATTCCGCATCAATTTTAAAAAATCCAAAAGTTCTTTTATAGAAATCGGTCTTCCCTCCTTTTTAAACAAAAGTAGGGTTTGCCGATTGAAACCGGCCAGGACCTAAAGTGGAAAAAGTCGGGCAATTGAGATTTGCCAGTCAGCTAGTAAACTCCGTTGAAACTAAGATTTACCCCGGAAGTAGGATACTAGCTACTATTTGTCACTGGACGAAACACCATATAAACTGATCAGAATGATGCAAACACGGAAGACTGGATAATTCTCCAGAAAGATGACAGGCCTCTCCTCCCCTGATTTGGGAGAAACTAAACTGGCTTCCTCACCACCAATCCTGGAAACCTCCCTTTTGGGTCTGTCTAGGGGCTTATCCCAAGAGCCAGTCTGGACACCTCTGGGCAGTTTGCCCCGGGACTCGCGCGCGGCGTCCCTACCAGGTTCACCGGGTGCACGTAGCCGTTTTCATAGCGATCTTCCTGCAGCAACTGCCGCAGGTGTGCGATGTAACTGGAAGCGAGTCGCAGGGTGTCCAGTTTGGAGAGCTTGGTGTCAGGGGGTACCCAGGGCAGGCTAGTCTTCAGCCTGGAGAAGGCTTTGCTCAGCACACGCATCCGAGCGCGCTCTCGGGCGTTGGCTGCGTTCCGCTGCGACTGCTTGCACTCTGCGGCCGATCCCTTGGCCGGGAGTGGCTTTTTGCCACAGCCGCCTGCACTGCCACCTGTGCCGCCACTCCCAGCCACCCGGGGCCTCTTTCTCTTGCAGCCTCCTGAGTCGCTTGCTGAGCTCAGAGAGCACTGCTCCTCCTCGCAGTCGGGGTCCTCCTCCTCGGCAGACGAATTGTCACTGGGAGAGGCGTAACTGCGCTC